CCCCCCGCACCCCTAGTTCCGACGTCTATGGAGGAATTTTTCACCTGGTTTATTTACTTCCGTATTGGCCTATGTGGGCGTGGTCAGATCCGGCTTGATTGACAGACTCCTGTTAGATGATTTATAACTTTATTTAAACAGCAACTTTCAGACTACTGCTTTGCATTACAGCAGGTTTGAGTGTATTTGCAGCCATCCGTACATTAAGTTTGCTCCAAATACTCAAATGAAACCTTCAACACGGTCTCATTATGTGGAGAAGAATGGAGTAAAACACCTGCAGAGGCTCTAATAAGTTAAAGCAGTCCCTGAACACACACACACACACACACACACACACACACACACACACACACACACACACACACACACACACACACACACACACACACACACACACACACACACACACACAATAACACTGACGCTAATTGTCCCCCCTGCCCTCCTTATCCATCGATCCGCCTGCTAATGAGAGTGTGTGAGATCGATGAAAGGAATTATAAGCAGGGCGTAGACATGCACACACACACACACACACACACACACACACGCACGCACGCACGCACGCACACACACACACACACACACACACACACACACACACACACACACACACACACACACACACACACACACACACACACCCTTCTTTTATAAGCTCACACACTTTCCCTCTAACAAGGCTCCTGAATGTGTCTCTTCACCCACTACCCACACATCGTCTCATCCATAAAACAAGAGGCCTATTTACCTCTAATGTATTCCACTCGTCCTCGCTGTTCCTCAGGTAACAGACGACAAGCGGCTGGCAGATGTTGAGAAAGGTTAAAGTAAAAACACGACATGCTTCTCCCACTACAAGCAGGTTAACCCTCTGTGCTCCACCTGATGCAACAAGGGGGAGATATACAAATGTTTTTAAGATCATACTGGACATATTTGAAAGAAAACCCAAAGCAATGCAAAAAAGCTTTTGAACCTTTACTGACACACCACAGGGAAGGGAACATCCTAAAAGCAGAAGAGGGCCCTTCAAAGTCAAGTTTTCAAAACAAATACTCCTTTAGCAGATAAAGGACTTTTCTTTATTCTTTCTCCAGACCCACAAGGTGAAACCAGCCTGGCCTGCTTCCACACAAACACTTGATAAAAGCAGATGAAACAGGCCGGCGGCTCATCCCAGAGCTTTTCATCTCACCACCTGCTCTCCTTTTCAACTGTGTCTCCAATTTGTCCAGAATATAGAGCGGCTTGTAAAAATCACGTTGTCCCCTTTCACATCACTCTGATCGTCTGATTAGATGAACTGCAGATTAATACCTGTTTTTTGTGATCAATTCAACTGTTTTCCTCTTGATTTCGGCACAATGTGCATCTTCTTAATTCATGCAGAATCCTCAGGAGGTGAGAAAGCACCAGGTTTAAGTTTTCATCTCCACATACATATTTCTTTTTTGGGTGCAAAGGGAATCTGTAAACAGCATTCCTGTCTGCGCACAGTGTGAGGAGATTGATGCACTCTTTTTAATATATAGCAGCTTATTAAGCGTCTTTTTTATTCCCTTGTGCATGCAATAAAAAGGGTTTCAAGTATCCAGGAGACGGGAAGGAATGCTGAGGGTGAGTCAGTGAGGCTCGGTCAAGGTGGCCTGTCCTCTCAGGGTGAATAATTATCTGCTTTAATTAAAGCACATTAAGTCTGAGTGTGTGTGCGTGTGCGTGTGTGTGTGTGTGTGTGTGTGTGTGTGTGTGTGTGTGTGTGTAGAGGATGATTGTGTGGCTGGGAAAGAGAGCATGTGAGGATGGATTCGGGTGCATTCACATGTAGTGTTTGTGCATGTGTTTTGTTCACGTGTTTTCTGTGTGTGTTTACATGCAGGAATGTGCTGTATTGTCTGTGAGGATTTTATAGAAACACATGATACAATTTACTCATGAACGCTCTCCTGCAGGCAGTCACAGTGGAGGCCTAATCTGCACATTCTGCAACCCTTTGTCAGTGACATTTTTAGCAACATACTGTATGTTTGCTGTCTTAGGCACAGCTAGAAGAGAAGATGGAATTCAGTTTCATCTCATAAATACAGAGATGTCGGTATAAGCTTAGCATAAAGACTGCATAGGATATCTAAAGCTGTCTTTTTTGCAGGATTTATGTCAAAGGTAAAAGTCTAAATGAGTCAGGTAAGCTTCAGGTTTTGGAGATTTTGCTTGTGCATTTGAACTTATACATAAACATATGCAAAATGCATGCAAACTCCACATCAAAGGCAATTATAGTGTGCAAAGAAAATGTATTCCACAGTCATAAAAACACTTAAAGGTGTAAAAACAAGAACTTTAACAGCCAATTTTGTTTTGGACAATTTCATTAGATCTTCATGTAGTTTTTACTACAAATATTACAAAAATATCAGCGTGATTTAATGTTCGGATAAACTTAAAATAGAGTCTTTTCCTCTTCTGCATGCACACACACAGTGATTGTTCTTGCATATTATTTTTAATTTCCAGTTTTATTGAAACTTTCTGAACAGAAACAGATCAGAGACAGGCTTTAGTACAAATATATAAACTCCTCGCACATTTCTCTGTTCATAATCCAAACAGATAGCAACACTGCAGCAGTCACAAAACATATTGAAACAACAAATACTGAATGAGAAATGAAAACAGATGAAGAAATGAACAACAAAAGCATCAAAGACAATTCATTATACTTGCTGAGAGCACAAAGTCAGAGAAAATGCTCAAAAACACAAGTTATGCTTCTTTAAATATACAGTTAACAAAAACTAGATATTTTCTGATACTAGTTTTCACAGTTTAAAGTCACATATTTCATTTATTTAAGCAATAAACTGTGGTCGCCTGTTAATTCTGACTTATACTGTTTTAATTAAAACATGAACTCTCCATGAAATGATAACAACTTTATTCATGCTGCACTTTTAAGATGCACTTTGAGTCCGAAGTTTAGAAAATACTGATTTTGCATGAAAAAATTGACATGAAATCACCTTCAGCAGGACTTTAAGAAATGCATTTAAAGTCTATCTTTATCCTATCATCTTTGATTAAAGAGAACATTTGTGTGTGCAAAAGTTGGACATTTGGAAAATATTGGATGCACTACGAATAAATGCAAGAATTTAACATTTTATTATCTGGATGTTTTGGGCTTAACATCCAGGTGTGCATGCTCCTTTTGGGTTTTATTTGGAAAGAACATATCAGATTGTGATTCTGTAACACAGCTGAAACGTGGTGTGTGAATCTGTGGAAACACATCCTCTGGATTGTACATGTAGAGTTAGCATTGTTTGGCTTGCAGACAAATGTTCAGTATGGGGATCAAATGAGTGTTTAAAGATGGCCAAAGGTCACAGTTTGTGAGGTTATGTATTGCAGTGGTTGAGGTCTCTGCTGTTGTCCTGAGGAAGGTTTGGAGACGGAAAGAACGACTTAAACAAACTGTAATACATTTGAAATCTTGAAAAATATATACAGAAAGTGTTAAAGACAAACAGTGAGTTGACAAAAAGATGAAGAAGAGTAAAAAGGTAGAAGGATCAAGAGGCATCACTTTCACTTTGACTTTTTCATTACCAACTACCTTTCGACGGTGTCTGAACATCTGTTAATCGATGACACTGAATCCAATACGATGTTCACACGGCGAAGTCTCCGTACCCGGTGGGGCAGAAGGCGGCGCCCCGCAGCGGGTCCAGGCAGTTGACGAGGATCAGCGTCCCCGTCAGGTGCTTCCACCTCTTGGTGATGGGGGTCCTCATCCGGTCCAGGCCCAGGTGCAGCTCCTGGATCACGTCCCGGTAGCTGTCCCCCACGTGGGCGGCCCACGTCAGGAGGAAGTCGTAGGCCGGCTTCCACATGGACTAAACGGTGAAGGAGAGAGAGGGGATTGTATTTTGTATCGTTTACAGATTACAGGAACACAGCAGCAGTCACAAACTGAATGAGGAATCAATACATAGCACTCACCTCGTTGTCCAGTTGTCCGTTCTTGTCTCGGTGCGGAGCCTCGTACGCCTCCATCTGCTGTCGGGAGACTCGAGCCAGCTTCTCTGCGAGTTCCCTCCATCGGGACGCCACCTCCACCGCCGTGGTCAGCAGCACGAAGTCCAGCACGAGCTTCGCCACCAGACCCTGACAGTCCATCTTCAGCAGCGCCTGGAGGAGGAGAGACACATAGGGGTACATTCAACATTTGTGTAGGAAATGTGTGTTTGTGGTCCTCTCCTATCCTGCATCGTCACATGATGCCTCATTAGATAGAGTCCTGTTTGTCTTGAAAGTGGCCACAGGGCTAAACGTTAAGAGGTTAAACACAGTTTCTAAAGAAAAACCTCTTTCTTTATGTGTGAGAGTGTGAATATAAATCCCCCTGCTGTAAGTAGTGCTGACCCTCAGGCTGTAAATATGCAGCTAACCCGGTTTACAGGAGAGTCTGAGAGTTAATAACAGCAGCTGACTGCAAAACACACTGTAGGCGAGATTTAAAAAAAATACGTTTTATCAAGAGCAGAAAAGGCAGCGTGTGTCCACCCGGAGATAAGATAAAAAAGCAGCTGCTGCAGGCATACTGTATCTTCACACACACACACACACACACACACACACACACACACACACACACACACACACACACACACACACACACACACACACACACACACACACACACTTCAAAGTGAAGCCGTGTCCTGCGGTGATACCTTTCAGGCTCATTGCAGGAGATTTCTCTCTGCAGAAAGCAGCAAGCGAGCGGATACACTCTGGAAATGTGTCTCCTTCTTTTTCACTATGATCTGGACAAGATCGAACAAACATTTGAGGGGATTTTACTAAAAGATATTTCAAATTATACTCAAAAATATACATGAAAAGCTAGAAATTGAGACTAAATATCAAGAACAAGGCAGCAACTCCTGGAAAGTTCACAGATGAGGTGCAGCATTTAGTTTTGCAGACAGTTTACAAAGTGTTGGTGCTTACTGTAAAGCATGGCAGTCCAAAAGATGCAGGATGTGCAATAATGTAAGAATTTCAATATGAAATAAAATGCAGGAACCAAATGATGCAATAATACAAATGGAGGAATCTGAAGTGATGGTAAATGTAATGGGAATTCAGTTGTCATCATCATAAGGCATGGGAACTTATTGATGGATTATGCGTTGCTTTATGAAATAAATCATTCTTCAATCCAGCTCAGCAGTTTATTAATGGCTTCATCAGATCACATCAGAGGTCAGTGTCGCGTGAAACTCCTCCGAAAAGATTTGTCTTAATGGCCTTTAGGAAAATAATAAACAGCAGCACCCTGAACGCATCACGATGTGATTCATCCCGTCTGATTACTCACATCCATGAGAGATGTCCTCAATCACTCCAATCGGATTTTAAAAGACAACACTTGATACTGATTTCTCCCTCAATTACATATTTTTGTGTTTTTTGGTCATTTGTTAAATGAAAACATTGAGCAAATAATAGAGAAAATGTGGAATCAGAAGCAAATATACAAAGTTAGTATAACATTTTAAAATAAAGGTGTATTTGACTTGCTTTTTCTGAAAGACGACATGTAATGGAAGCAAAATAGCAGCAAAATGCCAAATTTGACCAATGCATGACAATTAATTCATGCTAGTAAACGTTGATGTATGACATAAGGTTGTTGCATGTATGAATCATGCCGTACATTTAGAAGTAAACACATCACACATATTTTATCTCCGTTTGCAGCCTGGCTTTGGTCGGTGTGGTCCACGTTATTAGCTGACAACATGATTCTGCTCTAAAAATAGATAAATCTGCTCCGTTTGAGACCAAAGCGTCTGAGAATCATCCGATATGCTGAGACCTGCAGGAAGCCTCGGAGCAGACGGACAGACGGAGGAGACAGCTGACCGCACGCCTGTCACTGAGCGAGCTGCACCTCCAAAAGCTATTATGGGATAACACTCACAGGTAGAGAAGCAAAGAAAGGGAAACCCAGAAGAATGAGAAGTGTTTTTGCAATTCTGAAAGTCCCCAGTAATACATACAGACAGTGTAATATGACATACTTCACATTGAAGCTACAATATGCAGAGGAGCTCAAATTTCACACATTTTTCGTTTTTGTTGCAATTAACTGAAAAATTCAGCCCTTGATCAACATGTTCACTGTGTGTCACAGCAGAAAGATAATTATCTGTTGAGTCTTCTGACTGAAGTCATTGGTTTAACGGCAGTCTCCAGGCAGAGGATGGATTACGGCCTGCAGGATGTTTTATTAAACAGCTCTCTCCTCCAGCTGAAAAACAGCGGAGGCTCTCTACTTTGCCCCGGTAACTCAAGCCGGGGTGATAAAAGATTCTCAGGGCGGTGTCGGATGCCCCCGAGGCCCCCAGCCCGTCCTGATCAATGCCTGCTCACATTTCACCTGAGAACACCTGTCGCTGCTTTTAAAACACAAACCCTGACAACCTCCCCTACAGACACCATATGCTGTTAACCTGTACAATTACTCAACTGATCAACTGTTCATATCCATTTTGTTATTTTCTTATAGCTCATTTTCACTTTAAATTCTTCCCTCACACACACTCCCCTCCGTCCTGAAACGCCTCCATTGGACTCCTTTGTTTACTTCTGTAACATTATGACATCATTCATGTGTCACAATTGCGCTCCAACAGATTGTACGTGATAGGCTAAGGGGTGGGACCAATCACAACAGAGTGTCTGCCTCCTCTCTCATTACAGAAAACACATCACTCCTTGATTCTAAAAGACTATTTCATTCCAATAAACTCAACTTGGTTAGTGAAGTGCTCCTGGGAAACACCAGGATAACATATTGGGTAACTTTTATTCTGAACATTTCTCAGTGAATCTTTGAAGTGCAGAATAAAAGCCTGATTATTAGAAGAATGAAAGGTTTGTTTGTTAATGGAGGATTTTGAACCCAGAGGTTCTTCACTGCAGGGTTTTATTCTTGAGCAACAATTACATAAGACGGCTTTTCTCTCTTTCTGGAAGATTTAGTAACTCAAGCCTGTGTGATTCACTGGACCCTGATCCTGCAGCATGAGGACAATTTAATGCTCTCTGGGGAAAATGTCGCAGGGGACACACACTCACACACTTTCACACACACACATCCTGATCCAGGAGTGGTTTATAGTGCGGCAGGGAACTGAGCAGCAACTTTTTGTTGCGGGAAACAAGTTTCAGATGCAGTGTATACTAGTACTTCTACTTAAGTAAAGGATGTGAATACTTCCTTTAACACTGGTTGCAGATAAGTGGCAATGGAAAACACTTTATTCAACGGCAACACCTTTACTTTAAACAGTTACTGTCAAAATCCCATTTAGCAAGGCCCTTTAACTCCAGCTGCTGCTCACAGCTTCTTCACCTCTGCCTCGATAAACAGAGGTTCGAAAACATACTTAGCAAAATAACTGAGTAATAGCCTCTGGCGGGGGGGGGGGGGGGGGGGGGACAATCCCAGGACAATTTGCTTCCCGCAGGGAGTGGGCGCTGACTTAGAAAAACACATCAAGGCCGACGTGTGTTTCTCTCAAACTGCAGATTGAAGTTTTATTTCTTCACTTCCCTTTAAAGGATTTTCTCCCCGCTTCACTCGTCCTGTGTCAGCCTCCTCAGGCTGTAACACATGTTATTTACCATTCACGTGATGGAGCATTAAAACGAAATCCTTCCAGTTTACACTCAGATTGTGTCTCGACTGCTGAAGGGGAAGGAAATCATGTTGCAGAGAAGCTTTAATCAATCAGACAGCGGTTGACTCTGACTGTGGATGAAATTACATTTTTGTTCTTTTTTCGCTCCAACAAAGCTTAACTAACGATGAAGCAGTCATCCGAGGAATGCTCTCTCTCTAATGGACATCATTTGAGCATAATAGCTGTTGCAGCAGTGTCACAATAATGCTGGACAATTTACTTTAACATTTATCGGTGCAGGAAATGCTTTTGCCAAGCATGAATGCCTTTGCAGCAATCTAACAGTTGGAGGGCAATGCTAGTGTTTCTAGGACTTTAATGACAGCCATTGTTCTGTTCAAGGGCAACTTAGTGTTCCTGAATTTACACTAAAATACAAAGAGAATAACACATTAAGTAATTCAATAAGCAAAGATGCAATATATAGCCTGTTTTCAGGTCTCAAGTGGGAGAATTTACAGCTTTTCTCTGTTTAATATCATCAGATTCACTGTTTAAGACATCACCTATGGCTCTGAGAACTTGCTAAAGGCTTTCTTCACAACTTTGGGGGGATTTATGGATGAATTACTATTGAAATGTAGACCTCATTTAGGCAGCATCCCATTGCTTTATGCAGGGGGCAGTACAGTATTCATCCCCCTGGAAACACTTTTAAAAGGTCAGTTGTGTACTTTCAAACTTAAGGAAAATAAGGATTCATCTTCAAAGTTCGTGATTGCTTAATACCACCTGGAAGGCAAGAGTCTCTGCTCAAAAAGACTTGTCTGTTTCTCAAAAAAACACAATCTGGTTGAGGAACAGAACGTTTTAAGAAATAAAAACCTTGCTCTCACCATCATGAGTTCTCTCTGGAAGGACTTCCTCTCCTTGCTCTCCGTGTTCGTACACTCCTCTTTGAGCTTCTCCAGAACCGAAGCCACTTTCTCCGGCTCGTTGTCCAGCTCTGTTCTGCAAAAATAATTCAGCGGCAAATTCCCGTATCCTAGTGCGTCTGCAAACGCCCTCCAGCTGCCCACGTTCTCCATCAACACCGTCCTCACTGTTGCGTATATGTACGTAAGAAACTTGCAAGGCTTCAGGATCTGCTCCAGCAGCACTGTGGTTGTTAGATCCGACCCGATCCAATAAATGGGCTTGACTTTACCCAGAACTAAAACGTTCTTGGCATGGACGAGTCCCATCTTCCCCTGATAGTATCCAATGTACCACTCTTTAGTCCGCAGCTGCCCTCGCAGTTTGATTTTCTCCTCGCTGAGCAAAGCAACGACATCCCCCTTTTTGTACTCCAACAGATACGTGCTCTTCTGCTGCCTGATCACTGTTTTGATCAATTTGCCAAATTTCAGGTTGATGATGCACCGGTCCTGAAACTTTGGGTGTTTTGAAGTGGCGGCTAGCGGTGATAAGACGATCTTATCCACCTCTCTTTTTTTTAGAAACCTCCTCTGGCCTGATATCCTTGCTTCGGTTTTGGGTGGCGGTGGTGGTGTTTGGACGCAGAACTGCGTGAGGATGCAGTCAAGTGCGTCCTTAACTTGGACCCTGAGTGTAAAATCTGAAATGCTGTCTGGACTGTGCGATGTGATCATGTAAAGGAGCCTGCTCACTTTCCCCAGTTTGACCTGGAACCCCCGAATCACCCCAGTCCCCTCGCAGGACTTCACCTCGTAGTTAGACATGTTGGAGTACAACCCCAGCAGGAGGTCCTGAGGGTACCCCAGCACAAACTGGTGCTTGCCCCAAAGCTGGAGGGCCACAGGCGGGCTAGCACTCACCAGGCGACCCACCTCGTTTACCAGCAAGTTATTAGGGGCGCAGTCATGCCCAAACATGGCCACGACTGTCTTGAACGACGGGTGGATGTGCTTGGGTCCGTAGACGCCCAAAGTTACTTTCCTTTGCACATGATCCCACACAGTTGTATTGTGGCTGATGTACTGGGACTTAACAACAACAGCCACATACATGCACGGCTCCAGACCATCCAGCTGCACCTGGACTGTGTCCTTGTAAAGGTACGCATTAGGGATCGGCGTGTAAGGCCCTTCTTTGCAGTCACTGCGAACGCAAAGCACATCCGCAGTGTGACAACTCTCCTTCTTGACTGTTACCGATACCTTCATCTCCAACGTGAGGAAGGACTTTGTCTCCATGTTGCTCAGCTTGATCTCCACCACAGGGCTCACTGTGGAGCAGAGATCTGTGTTGAGCTCCAGAGGAGGGTCTAGCAAGGCTTTCATGGAGATCTGCTGGTGTTCTCCATTGCTGACGTGGCCTTCAGGGATGTGAATGCTGATTTGGGTGTCCGGGAGCTGAACAACGCCTCCGTTACAGTCCAACATGCACACGATGTTGGTCTCCACCGGCTGCGTCTGGCCCCACCCTGGACTCTGACCCAGAGAGTCAAGGTCATGGCAAGACCTGGCTAGCTTTCTGTGGTTCAACCAAGCAGTCCTGAAGTCCTCCCGGCTCTGAAACTGCTCCGGGGAAGGAGCCTTAAGGCCTGAGAAGAACCCCGAAGAAGGTAAGGATGGATTGGACTGCGCCTGCAGGACGGACAGTTCTGAGAGACTGTGGGAACGTTTGCTCCTGAAAAAGGGATTATCCCTGTGGAGGTTAGGTACAACCTCTTGATTTGGGCTTGTGGGGGTTGTACTGTTAATGTGGCAGCTGCTGAACCCATTGGTCATGATTGTACTAGAGGTCAAGTTTGAGCAAGATGACGGAGATGCCAGTGCATCAAATAGAATAAGGTCCGTTGAGTTCCTAGCGCCAGAATCTTTGCAGTTTTGATCTTTAATAAAGGGGTTCACAGCAAAGGGAGTATTGTTGTAAATTGGGGAAGGCTTAAGGGAAACCCCTGTCCATTCCCCTAGGCCTCCAAACTCCTTCGACCCATCCTCGTAACCCTCCCCAAGACTGTCAATCATCCCGCTGTCGCTGAGCGAAGAGTTCCCGAAGTTGAGCGGCTGCACGTAGGCGGCAGGGATGTAGCCCATCTCCGTGTTGTTGTGCGCGTACCACCACTCCCCCCCTGACGTGTCCAACACATAGAGGCGATCCCCTTTGGAGAACTTCAGCGTAGTGAAGCTGCTGGGGCAGTAATCCTTTATGGCGACCACTTCCTGCGCTGCTCCATAGGAGGAGGAAGTGTCCAGCCTCAAGGCACTGGGAGAAGGCACTGAAAAGGAAAGAAGATATTAGACAGATATAATCTACTAACATGAGTGATGGTCTTCTAACTTGATTACAAAGTGGTGCACTCAATGGCTGATTAATCAAAATACTGCAGTTAAATGCTCTTAATCAGACAAATGTAATGGGCCAGTTGAAACAATGAGGTGAGGGTACTACAGATCAGACAGGGGTCTAACAAAGGGTTCAGGAAGTACGAAATATGTGATACAAATTGCCCAAAAAAACCAAACCTTTACTTATTCTGAAAGCAAGGACACATGTTGTAGATCAGTAAGCAAACATATGAGCAAATGAGCTGCATAATGTACTGCACAATTCTCTATTTTTAGTTGACATCATTAGCGTATATGGAGCATGTAAACAAAGCTTTAATGCAATGCAACCAGTGAAGTGAAAGAGCCAGAGAGAGAATAATAGGGTCCACATATGACTGAGTAGAGAGAAAAACTGACCTTTGACATCGTTGAGACTGGCCCCATTGACCCCTTCGCTAATGTCGATGAGCGTCCCTTCAGACTTGCAGCGAGGCAGGACGTGACTGTTGCTCGTCACTCTGACGATGCGATGGGCAGCCATGGCCGCTACTCAGCACAGAATTCGCTCATTGGCAGCTTTTCATCTGGATTGGAAACAAACAAAGCATTTTCAATCAATTTGATGCAATGCACAAATGAATTTGAAAGCAACGCTACTGTATGAAGTATCATCTTCTAGATCAGTAACAGAGTTTAAGTCTGCTAAGGTCAAAGCTGCAGAAAATAAGCTTGACGAATATCAGTGCATTTATGAAGGATGTTCCGAGGGAAAGAAGTAGAGAGATGTGATTGAGGAGCAGTGCAATGGAGAATAAATAAATATATGACACAAAACAAGATTGCATTTCTGAGTGATTTGACAATGAGGAAGGTCAGAAACACAATGTGCAGAATGAGGCAAACACATCTCAGGAAACCGTATTTCTTTATTTATCTTCTTTATTTCTTTATTTTATTATTCTTTATTTGTGAACAGCTGAAAATGGTATCTCCATTATGGATGTGCCAGTATCATTCCTTAATAACAGTTGCATTCAACCATTTATTTCGAATGCTTGAATAGATGATACAAAAAATGTCCTCTGCATCAAAGTATCACACAAAGCTGGAAACACTGTTGTGTGACACATTATTGTGAGCTGCAAAATATTTTCCAACAGGGGATTAAAAGCAGCAAACATCTCTCCCTCCGGTTGCTTTTACTCCGCTGCTCTGTGTTTTCACTATTTACATCTCTGATTGTGTTGAGCAAGTCACCAATTTCCTTGTCCGAATTGAGTTGTGATTCAATTAGTGTATGAAAACACAGAGTCAGCAGAGGACAGTAATCTGATTAGAGAGACAGCCAGAAATATTTTGCAGCAAAACGCCGTTCCTTCAGTCGCCAGAGACTTGTATTATTCCTGCAGGAAGTGTTGAGCTGCGACACTGAGAACATTTGCATTGCCACACTAATGATGCCATTTTCATCTGATTAAAGCAACACAGACTGCAGAAGCTGCCACTCATTATCTTAGAGAGGAATTTCTGCTCACATTAAATGCTGAGGTTTTTTAATTCAGCTGCAGGTGTTTGCCTTTCATAAAAGACAGCAGTACACTTTGTCATAGCAGGACCTGTTTTCAGACATAACTGAGAATAACACACAGTAGAGGAGAGATATTAAAAGAAATTGCTTTTTTTGCCCTATTAATCTTAATGTCTACGAAAAGCTTTACTATTTGTGCTTTCATTGCTTCCCAGCCAACTTCACCCTTTATTAAAACCCTTCCCCTTGAGCAGATGCAGTAATATTTCTTATCTCTCTTACCTCAAAATGACAAACAGTGAAAAAGTGGAATGGTTTTAGAGCAGAGGTGCACTCTGGGAAGTTGAAGTAGGTTTTGTTTAATGGCTGCATCTGTTTGAGCTCTAGCTGAAATCCAGTCAAACTCCTCCGAGCTGACATTTCATTTTCTTGCTCATCAGGGAGCGTGTCGCCTGCCCGTCGATACAAAAAGCCCCTCTAGTTTCAAATGAACACTCAGCGGGCAGCTGCGATCAATAAGAAGCCAGCGACAAAGACAGCGTCCCCGGCTTTGTTATAACATGGAGGCCATCCCCGCTGCATGCAGCAGGAGGTGAGGGAAGACAAGAGGAGGAACTGGAGCTGGGAGGTTCAGTTCAAAGCAAACTGGATTCTTCGAAAAACTCATTTCCTTGATTTGAAGAGGAGAAACAATAAAAACACTAGAGGTGGAAAAGTAGAAATACCTACTCCATTACAAATCAAAGTCCTGCATTCAAAATGTTACTTAAAGAGGCCCTATTATGCTTTTGGGTAAAGTAAAAGTACTCAGTATGCAGAACAACTTTTTTTTTACGTTTTCATTACCATGACATACATGTAAGAGCATTGTAATGCTGTAGTTTGTCAATGGGGAGACAGCTTTAGATGAAATACTGGGTTATTAGTTAGTACTGCATGAAATCTTATCAGCATAGTTTATATGTAAACACATGATATGAAAGTAAGATAAATGTAGCAGAGTGAAAATTATAATAATTGCAAAAACAAGACTGTGATACCCTGCATGGATACAGAATAACAAGACAAAGGGTATTCAGCATTTGGGGAAATGAACTTGCTTTACTTCACGTTGGAAGAGACATTTCTATTACAGGAGGAAAATCAAGATGCTCTCAGGAGATTTAAGAAAACTGCTGCAGGGTAGACATCCTCAAGATTGGAAATATATGTTTCCCCCCACGAGTTTGTGAAATACACTGCGTTATAAACTCATTTCAGTCAGGCTGACGGAGAGGCGAAGCGGGGAGTAGAACGTTTAATTAGCCGAGCCGCGGCCTGGTCTAATCCCTGGATGAATATCACTATAATAACCATTTCCAGCCTCCGTATGCTCGAGGAAAATGTATCACTTTGCCATCACAGCTGTTTAAAATGAGCAGATTACAGGAGGGGGAATGAAACAACAGGATCATGTCAAACCTAACCAACAGTGCTTAATATTCAGACTTTATCCCCTGTTGAATAAACGTACCAACAAAAACTAATCCCAGATCAAAGAGAGGCAGCTACAGGGCTCGATGTCTGTTACATCACCATCGAACAAACCTAAATACTCTTCAGTCAGTGTGATGAGGTCTGCAAGATCAGTCATTCCCTCTTTTTTGCTGCAGGTTGTCGCCTCAAGACAAAGTAAATTATTTTAAACGTGATGATACAAAAATTCCTTTTCATTCATTTATCCTGCAGGAAACTGTGAGCAGGCACTCTGGTTTAATTATGTCCTTTCCTCAGGGAAATAAAAACATTAGGTCTACTTTGAGACAGGTACCTAAACGACTGCCCTGTTGTGGCCTGAGGCGATGCAGCTCTGCTCCCAGCATGCATCTGGTCAGTGTTCACACCTCCAATGTGGGGGCGGTTAACCAGCAGAAGAAATGGATGGAAAAAGGGGCTGAGGGAAATTATGTTCTTGGAAGTTTGATAAATGCCTGTAACAGATTGTCCCCTATGGGCCACCGTAGAAGTTGCCTGAGGCTTATGAGTGACATACATGTGACTTTTGAGGATTTTAATTTCATGTTATCTCTATAATTTTCCTGCATATTTTGTCCACACTGCCCTGCTGCAGCTTTGTAACATTACCAGGTTTTATTTTTTACTCTGCAGAGTATCAGAAGATAAAGAAATAAGTAAAAAATCTGCAGTTGGCATGTGGTCAACTACATTAGTGTGCCACCGTTCATCACCGGGGAAATTCATCCGTAAAATATTACAATCTCTGCGCTCTCCTCAGGATGGATTTCCAGGTAAATGAGGCCGCTAAGTGCCTGGTTTTAGTGCTGCTTCCACCTCTGAGCTGCAGGACTGGAACCCAAAATGAGCCCAACATGTGCCCTTTAACAAGTCAGCAAGTCAACTTTGGGGCAGAAAATGAGTTTTTAAAGCTATCATTTACTTCCGAAGTCTATTCTCAGCAGGGGGGAAAGCATTCATTTGATAAACTGTGCATGGAAATGTAATTAATTCTGAACACATTTTAAAAACAGCTAGATTTCACATTTATAATTCCATGAAAAGACTGTTTTTAACTGATGGTGTAATAATGGGGATTAATGAAGTGAGATATATTACACCAGTTGGTCCAAATTATTCACCCTAATTAGAATTTTACATTATTCTTATAGTTGTTCTCAACCTTACAAAAGCTTTTGTGTATACTATCATTGCTTTATAGCATTAGTTTTCGTATTTAACATCTTACTTAATCACTATAATCAAGATATATTTGTAGTTAGTTTAGTTTTATATCAACACAGAGAAAAACAATACTGTGTGTGTGTGTGCTCGTGTGTGTGTGTGTGTGTGTGTGTGTGTGTGTGTGTGTGTGTGTGTGTGTGTGTGTGTGTGTGTGTGTGTGTGTGTGTTGTGCTGAGAGGGCATTAATTACAAAATGGAGCGCACCTTCGAGCGGAGCAGGAAAACGATGACATGCTAGTTTTCAGGCTTAGCCTCGAGGGGGGGAAAGACAACAGAGTGTGTGTGTTTGTGTGTGTGTGTGTGTGTGTGTGTGTGTGTGTGTGTGTGTGTGTGTGTGTGGGGGGGGTATGTTTGTGTGTGTGTGTGTTTGAATTAATTTAAACATTTATCATCAGGAATCACCTGTAAAGCCTAAACATGCTGCCTCAGAGGTGTGTGTGTGTGTGTGTGTGTGTGTGTGTGTGTGTGTGTGTGGGGGGTATACTATGAGTTGTTTTCTGTGTGTGTGAAGGTGTTTAGTGTCACTTTTAAATGAGTTTGAGTGCATGTGAAAGCGGAGGATCACATGAAAAAGAGAAAGGAAGGGGAAGTGGAAGTGATGAAGAGGAGATGAGAGGAATCGAAGAGGGAAGTATGCAAATGTTGTCCACAGTCAAATAGTTTAAAACAATGGGGGAAAGGAATGAGAGAAAGAGAATGAGGAGACGACGAAGAACAGGTAAGCACATAAAGAAATAAGAGGTAGGCTATACAAGTGAAGAAGAGGAGACAAAAAGAGGGAAGAGGAAAAAGGACAAGAGGAAGAAGCCATATCAGAACCCTCAGGAAACACACACACACAGCAAATCACTCTGCATCTAATTAAGCAGAGTTGCAGGCGGCAGCAGTGTGTGTGCTGCTGATAGAAAGAGAGAGGAGGATTTTCAGATTATCTGATGACCTTACTGGCAGGGCTGAGGGGGCGTGCACGTGCGTCTGACCGCGTGCACACACTTGACGACGTATAGTGCTAATTATCAAACTTATAATTCACTTTGCCTCCATGAGCTTTCCTCTAAAAAAACGGTGTTTATGCTATGCTAATATGTGAATATTCAGTATTCTCTGTATATATTGTGTATTCAGTATTGTCTGTATATATTGTGAATTCAGATAGACACATCGATTCATAAAATAAGTAAAGAATGGAACAAATGTGCAGAAAGCTTTTAATTTAAATATATAAATAGTGTTTAGAGAATACATACAATAATACAGCATCATAAGAAATTAAAATTAACAAAACATGTCATTATTAGGCACCATACACTCAGAATAAGCCATTATAAAATCATGATATCAATATAGAAACACAGATATCATACTTAAATAGTCGTACATTTAATGTAACTATAAAGATGCATGAAAATGCCATGGGAACAGACAATATCAAAAATAATACGATAGAACATTTTAATTTGAGTGAATCCGAATTACTCTTCACATTCTGTTTTGCTAAATGAACCACAAAAAGAGCACATGATTGGTGTAAAAAGATAATCAGAGGTAATTAAATGTAAATGAGTATGAAATGTGAACTGACCTCCTGCTGGCTGGAAGACGCTCACAGTGGGAAAGTGAGAAGGTGAAGAGCTGATGGAGAGACTTCTTCTCCTTTTCCTCCGTGTCATTAGGCTTAACGACCAAAACAAATAACATTAGTTATTAAAAGGTAAAAATAAGAGTATTATTCCACAGTTCTGGAAGTTTTTAGCGGTGAAAGACACTCCGGTTAACGTCCGTCTCTGCTCCGGTCTACCGAAGGACTGAAGCACGGTGGTGGAGAGGAGTGTGTGACGTCACTGGGAGGGGGCGTGGCCACACACGCACACGCACACGCACACACACACACACACACACACACACACACACGCACACGCACACACACACACACACACACACACACACACACACACACACACACACACACTTATTTTAAGTGTTGTTTTGACAACCAAAATACAACAAAGGACTAAATTGTGCTCAACATGTGTTATTGCACATTTCATTTTGTTATAATCTAAGGGCTTCAATAAAGTGAAGAAACTCGTACTTGTTATCAAGCAAGGCGTTGAGGTTGAAGCCCATTGTTGACACTGAATTAATTAGTTAAATAATGTCCTAGTACATTTACTTGATCCATGGTTAATATAGGCTAAGCCCAAAATTAGCTAACCTTATTTTGGACTGTGTCCTTTTAAAGGTCAGCTGTTGGTAAACGGTGCGGATTGCCTGTGAAAGTTCACCCAAGTTTAACTGTGACTTGTCCTTTAGTGTAAACTCTCTTCTTGCTACATATTCTTTTTATTTCTTCTTCTACTTGTCAATACATAGAGGTCATTTCAATTTGGAGCCTGAACTGATTCATTTAAGTCATTAAATCCACTCCTGATTTATTTTAAACACATTTCCAATAGAGGAATCACAGCTGAAAACTGAAATAAAATCAGACTGCACATATTTTGGCTGCTTCTTAGCTTTTTATTATCAATAAAGTCTTCCACAAACTGAGCATCAGACACGTGATCAAAGTGGCCCTGGAGACAGTCACGATCAACAGGCTCTATAAATAAAGTGGAGTGGAGCAGCAACTCGTGGTGCTCTGCTAAAGAGGCGCTGCTCATTAAAGCTTTGGTCATTAAAACTCTGTCACTGCGCACTATTCATAATAATAATAATAATAATAACAGCAGCTTTATCTGGAAATGGTTTGTCCTTTTCATGCAAAAATAGTGTGATTTCTTCTAAGAAAGTTAGATTTTAACCGCTCTGGTACCTGATGGATATTTATTTGCTTTAAATGACAATCACAAGATTTAAAAGAGCATTAAAAGTATTTTTTATTCCACACATTAGCCACATAGAGCTTCCTCTTTCATCTCATTGACTCACTCGCTGAATGAAGCTGCTGTCAGTGCACACAGCGCAGCGAGAAGACGACAGGAGGAAGACAAATGTCTGAAAATAAGCTTCGAAACGCATGAAGAGAAGACTCCCTGCATGTGAAGATTAACTAAAGACACTTGTGTTTGAGAGAGGGAATACCTGACTGATTTGGCTTTGAAGTCTCATATATTTGCTGTTTCATACTGTATATTTAAGGGTTGAGTCAAAGGTCGTGACCTCTATGCATCATGAGTTTGACTTACACTGTGCACACTCGACTAAAAAAAGAGATAAGAGTTTAAAATGGGACTGCTTGGTATCTAAAATGAGCAAAAAGCCAACATATTCGGAAACAGTTACTGAATATAATGACCTCAAAAACATTACAAATGATGAGAACGTCCTGCTCTACTCAGGGAAGTTGTACATCCAGTGTTTTGCAACATGCTGCAGGATCTGCTCCCCCTCAGCGATGCCTGGGGGAACTTTTGAAAGCAGCAACCAAAGTTTACAACAAGGCGGATAATTGGAGCAACAGCTGTGAGAGGAGAACCCCCTCTCACAGATTGAATTCAACTGTCCTACTTAATCATGCAACAAACTAAATCAGGTGTGTGTGCAGCTTCACTATGCAGCACCAGATTGAGATTCGACAACCCCTTTCTTCCTGAAGACACGTTGTTTTGATCTCTTTTCCTGCAATGAAATGTTTCCTGTAATTTTATGTTAATTACTGAGTTTATATCTTATCAGCTTTAATTCAATTTAAATCAAAGGTTTTATTTGTAATAAACACAATAGCTATGGTTTAGTGTTTGACAGTTCAAAATACAATATATTCAGGACATTTCAAATGAATTAAATACAAATTAAGAATAAGTTAATTAATTAAATAAAAGGCATACAAAAATAAGTAAAATTGGTAAAAGGTGAAATAAAATAAAATATTAATAATAATAATTAATACAAAATAAAATAAAGAAATAGTAAATGGGTAAAATGCTGCAGGAAATGTTAAACTGTACTTCAATAACATCAGAAACTTTGGGATATATATATATATATAATTTCTTCTATTTTCTACTTCTCTACCTTCTCTTCCTATGATGGATGCTACAGCTTCAGAAAGCGTTATGATTGATGTCACCGCCCTCCTCATGCTTTCTCATTCTGCACTGTCAGGGGTCAGTGGGGGGGGGGTGATGGATATCTGTAAGGCCTCTTCTGAACGGACCCGTGGGTCACCTTGGACCTGCCCGATTAGAAAAAGACTTCTCACACGTTTTCAGCGCCTGCAGCTGAGGAGGGCTAAATCAAATAAACTGAAGGGTTCATCCATCAAGCTCGAGCCTCTGGATCGGCACCGTGCAGGATGCCTGTCAAGTCTGTTTGGGTGTTTCGTAAAGTTTGTCAAACGTCCTGCTTCTCTTTCGGACCAAAGATCTTAATCATCGTCTTTAAAGATGTGACTTTGCATGAGGTAAACCATTGATTGAGTGGACTGGATATTCACGTTACCTCTTTCTTTGTAGATTTCCTCTAGGTCTATTTAAGTATGATATTAAACCACAAAAAGAGACATATTTTCTAAAGTTCAAGAGGCATAATCATTCACTTTTCTTTCTTTTTAAAGCTTTTTCAAAGTAAACTATGAGTAGATGTGATTGGTTTATTGATTATTAAACTATAAAGTCAAATTATCTCTGGTTCCAGCTGTTGTTGAGATAAGAGGGGGAAATGTAGGTCACAGCCTGATAAAGTTTAGAGTTATAATCCTGACGTATGTAGATTGTTTTTTTTATAGCATATCGTGTCGTTGCTGTTGTATCTCGACAGGATAATCTGGTTTTCGATCGTACAATTGTAAAGATTATCCTCCATTTCCCTGCAAGAAAATGGTGCTTAATTGAACCTCCAAAAAGCATTTTAATGAGGAGGGGGGTTTGTAAAAATGTTTTCAGTAGAACTTGTCTTGGCCGTTGCTGCCCTGAGGTTCAGCTCTTATTGGGGACTCAAGACTGGATCCGACGTGTCTATTCATCTGCTGTGAATGGGAATTGTGGGATGTTAAGAAAGGACCCCCCCCTCTATTCACAGCTTTATCAAGGACCCTCGCTATCAGCCCGGCCCGCTTTGCATCAGAATAACAGAGCGTCTGCGTGTAAACCGCGTCCGTTATGGGAAGAGCGGCAGGAATTTGGTTAATTTCCGACTCTGCCTGAAAACAGGAATCTTTGGAAAGAAAAGTGGTGGGAATGAGATGAAGATGCTTCAATACCAGAAGATTAAGTATTTATGTTAAAGAAAGTTACATCTAAAAAGTGCAATAAAAGATTACATATTTGTATTTCTAAGATCGGTAGTAGGATACTTCTTCCCACAGTATTATTATTCATCCTCTTCTCCGCAGACCGTTCCCTTTTCTCTCTGCTCCATCCGTCCATGCTCTACCTCCGTACACTCCAGGCTGCACAACCTGTTCCCCGCAAATTACTTATTCATCACTTTCTCAGGTGCAGCAGCGGGAAAAGGCCATGGATTAGCTGTCCTTATCTCACACACACTCACACACACACACACACACACACACACCTCTGAGGCAGCATGTTTAGGCTTTACAGGTCCATGGTCACTGCAGTAACCCTTAAGAGGTTCGGTCACTTCTTCTTTTGGTTCTGTTTCTACATCTTGTTGGTTTTATTCCACACTGAGACCTCAGTCTGCCGTTTAGGATACAGAGAAACTCGCTTTGATGAAACTAAACGATGCTTCTCTCTGGAGGGCGGCCTGGATCCTCTGCAGAACATCACTTCTACCTTCATCTTCTGCTGCTTTCATCCAGAGAGCTACAGAGAAAAAGCAGGAGGGGTTTAGAGCTGAGGCAGATTATACAAATTCAGATGAGAAGGAGGGGTTTCAAGTCATATATTGTACACTCAATTAACTCTTGAGTTGTTCCTGAAGTACACAGGATAACCTTGAAAATGCTGTTTCCACTCCTCTGTTGCCATGCAAGAGTTTAAGGGAGGGTGTGGTATATTGTACAGATTGTAAAGTGTTGGTGTGACGCTTTTTATCTCATAAATTGTGGGATTGGGAGGGATTTTGTGGTAGAGAGTGGGACAATACATTACAAACTCTGTTGACATAAGAGGCTTTACATTCATGACTTATAGGAAAAAAGAAGTGCCTATAGCTGGCAGTTATTTTGCATCCCTAATCAAATGTTTATGGATATTAAAATCTTTTTTAAACAACTTCTTACATTTTTAAACAGTGAATTTTGTGTTTGTGTTTATACCAACATAAATATGGCACTGAATCTGAAGGGACATTTTTTGTAAAATACTTACAGTATGTGAAAACCCTTCCTGCTGCAGGTTCTTCTCCAAAGTCTGCTCCTGCTCACCCTGCCCACTCTCACCCTGCCCACTCTCACCCTGCTCACACCCTGCCTGCTCTCACCCTGCCCACTCTCACCCTGCCCACTCTCACCCTGCCCACTCTCACCCTGCTCACACCCTGCCTGCTCTCACCCTGCCTGCTCACACCCTGCCTGCTCTCACCCTGCCTGCTCACACCCTGCCTGCTCTCACCCTGCTCACACACTGCCTGCTCACACCCTGCCTGCTCTCACCCTGCTCACACCCTACCTGCTCACACCCTGCCTGCTCTCACCCTGCTCTCACCCTGCCTGTTCTCACCCTGCCTGCTCTCACCCTGCTCACACCCTGCCTGCTCTCACCCTGCCTGCTCTCACCCTGCCTGCTCTCACCCTGCCTGCTCTCACCCTGCCTGCTCACCCTGCCTGCTCTCACCCTGCCTGCTCTCACCCTGCCTGCTCACACCC